TCAGATTGAACTACATATCCACATCAGTGTTATCCTGCCACAGGGCAGAAATGGTACTTCTTGTAGATATTATATACAAAAATAATGTATTTTTTTGTAGGCAAAAACAAGAGCCAGATGCTATTCATCTACTATGATACTCTGGTTTCCTTCGCTGTTTGAGATGCCCTTTCTCTACTTACAAAATTATTTTAACATACCCAGTGGATATTTTTTCCAATTTAGAGCCTGTCACTGCCAGTATTTTTAAGGAATGACATAACTAACACTTATTTATTTTAGTTCTGAAAGGTAAACACCATCAAAATGCCTACACAAAGGCTTTTGTGAGAGTCTTAAAACTTGCCAGCAGGGCAGAAAATAAGTGAGGGTTTCTTAAGAAAGACCTATAATAAGTTAGCTGCATTATTCCACATCCCAATTAACAATTTCTCTCTATTCTGTTCTTTATAAATAAAAGTAAACATGAACCTTACTTGACTGCAGCAAAGACATTATCACCAACTTGTGAAATCACACAACCCTTCTTAGCTTCATTTGCACCAACCCACACTGGGAGCTCATCTGGCACATCCCTATTGATGAAAAAGTACACACAAAATAGTCAAGCTGTGTCCATTTCTCCTATTTCAAAATAAAACTAAATTTGCCTCCTCACCATGCTGTCATCTCCTTCAGAACCTACCAAGAAATACCCTTAGATCTAAAGCTCTAATATCTTACAGCAAGCCTTGAAAAGAGCTTGCATCCACACATGCAGAGCAAACACATATTCCCTTCTGGTAATTTGATCATCTTCCCAGTACCATGGCAAAAGTTAAAGATTAGTGAGTGAAGGTGCTCTGGATGGCTGGAAGAGGTAGATTAATAAATATTTAAATCTTGTATTCAGCTCCAGGTCCTGCAATCTCTTTTAATAAAAAGATAAAGCCATGTTTCAATATCCTAGTACAAAAAGGAAAGATTCTTGTTTGCTTACGGTGCACAAGTTATGTTTCATGGAAAAAGAGGAAAAAAGCTATGCATAGTTGTAGTGGAGAAAGAGCACACAGGAAATAAAATACCTGAAATATCCCATGTGATACTGTGTTCTGCTATCCCCAACAAGTATAGTCTGAAATTCTGGGGGATCATAGAAGAATCTCCAATGAAGATTGAAGTTCACATCTGTTGATTTTGCTTTTTTGTGTTTTCCAGCAAGAATATCATATGGTCCAACCAGCTTAAGTCCAACACTTGACACAAGTGCATCTAAAAAGAAAACCATGAATCAGGTGCATATCTAGATCAGGAAGTTCCAGTGTTGCTCAGGTATCAAAAGTTTCCATAAATTCAAACACTATTCACTAGCCAAGAAAAGATAAGACATTGGTTTTTCCAGATAGCTTTCATTCAAGAGTTATTACACTTTTAATAAAAAGTAACCATCAATAGTCCAATGTCTGGATGTAGATCAGCGATGAGTGGTGATCCTCAGGGCTCTGTACAGGGACCAATATTGTTTAATATTAATCTTTATCAATTACACAAGATGAGATCAGCAAACTTCAGCAAATTTGCAGATGACACACCTGAAGGATGGGATGCCATCCCAAGGGACCTGGACAAGCTCAAGAATTGGGCCCATGGGATTATCTTCAGATTTAACAAGACCAAGTGGAAAGTTCTGCACCTGGGCTGGGGCAACCCGTGGTATAAACACAGGCTGGAGAGCAGCCTTGCCCAGAAGGACTTGGGGGTGCTGGTGGATGAGAGGCTGGACAAGATCTGGCCATGTGCACCCACAGCCCAGAATGCCAAACGTGTCCTGGGCTGCATCCAGAGGAGTGTGGCCAGCAGGGAGAGGGAGGGGATTCTGCCCCTTTGCTCAGGCCCCACCTGCAGGGCTGCATCCAGTTCTGGGGCTCCAGCACAGCAAGGTCATGGACCCGTTGGAGTGGGTCCAGAGCAGGGTCATGAAGATGATCAGAAGCCTAGAGCACCTCTCCTATAAAAAGACAGGCTGAGAGGGCTGGGGTTGCTCAGTCTGGAGAAGAAAAGGCTCCAGGGACTTCACTGCAGCCTTTCAGCACTTTAGGTATTGAAGGTAAGGACAAAGATTTTAGCAGGACCTGTAGCAAGCGGACAAGTGGTGATGGGTTTTAACTAAAACACGGTAGATTCAGACTAAATACAAGAAAAAAATGCCTTATGATGCAGGGGGTAAAACACCAGAATAGGTTGCCCAGAGGTATAGTGGATAACCTAGAAACATTTAAGGCTGGGATGGACTCAGCTCTAAGCAACCTGGCTCTGTTGCAGACGTCCCTGCTCATTGTAGGGAGTTCAACTAGATCACCTTTAAAGGTCTCTTCCAACCCAAATCATTCTATGACTGAAAGATACTGTCACTTCTAGAGCACACAGGGATGCCACATTCTGTTATATAACGAACTTGAAGAGGTTGAAATCCAGATTTAGTAGTCCTTACACTGAGAAAGTCTTTTCAACCTCATCCCACCAGCAAGGAAGCTGTAGGTGCACAAGAAGCTAAGAGCTGATCCCAACTGACCAAAGGGATATTCCATAGCATATGGCTCAGCATGATGAAGAACTGCTTTCTTGGAGATGGCTGAACACCTGCCTGCACATGGGAGGTGGTGACTTAATGCCTTGTTTTGCTTTGCTTCTGGCTTTTGCTTTCCCTATTAAATTGTCTTTAGCTCAAACCACACATTTCCTCACTTTCACCCTTTCGATTCTCTCTCCTGTCTCACCAAGGGGGAGTGAGCAAGTACCTGTGTAGTGCTTAACTGCTGACTGGGATTAAACCATGATACATAGGGAAACTTGAGTTCCATACAAAACATTTTCAATGCATCTGCAAGAAAGGCAGATTCAGACCACATTTAGTCCCTTTTACATTGCACAACTTCAGTAGTTACATTATAGAAAGCCTGAAGTGTACCTCTTGGTGATTATAGCCAGTGTTTTAGTTTACATTCATGTAAACATCCTCCACCTCAACTGAAAAACTGAAGCTTCATTAAAATGCATCTGACCACCTCCAGTTTGCCTGCCTTCAGGCTTCTTCTGGGAATGAAAGTTAGAAGAGGCAAAATTTAAAACCTTACCACTTGGTTTCTCAGGATCTAGTTCCTCACAAAACTTCCAAAACTGGTAGAAGTCCTCAGGCAGTCTAAGCCGATAGCATGTTTCTGCTTCTTGGCAAAGACTATCAGGATTATCTGCCTGATTTGATCTCCTCTTCTTGACAGCTCCATTTTTTTCACTCTGTAGATTAAAAAAAAACAAAACCACACAAAAAACCCAAACCAGAGTTAATTTAGTTGCTTTCTGTTGACTCTTCCAAAGGATTCTACCAAGCTTTTATATTAATGGAAGAACAAGGATTAGATCCATTAGGGGATGTTTGTTAGTTAAAGCAGCACATGATACAGCCTAGAACATCTGTTTTGGACAGAACCCATTAAAAGTTCAGTCTGACAAATGTACTAAACACGTCTGAAGTAGCAAACTGCTACTTTGATATTAATGGGTCAATATAGTAAACAAAAGCACTTCTGTTAGTTAATTAAGCGAAGGAGCAAGCAATTTTAAAGTTCAATCTACTTCTGCACTGTTTTAAAATGACCATTTCCAATCACACTGCAGACTGCATACAGTATGTTTATGTGTTTTACAGACAGCTGAAAGGAGGAATTGTGTTTTGTCACCTCAAATTAAATAATACAGCAAAAATCCTCCGGTCTCTGCTATTTTATCTACTGTGCTATCCAACATCACGACTATTGCAGTTTTCAGTGCAGCATTTTAAAGGTGAAGTTGCTTTTAAAAATGATGTAACGTGAACTGAAGCAGGCTAGGAAATGATCCGTACGGGCACACTCTACTGGGGCCGTAGCCTCAACCACCTCATTCCCACATAAGGCTCCATGATTTGGTAGGAACCCCTAAGGTTTCTTTCTTGTTCTCAAGAGAGAGCAATGCGGCGGATACTTCATCTCTGAGGCAGGGCCGCCGCCAGACAAGCTGGGTCACGTCGCGTGTCCCGTTCCCAGCGCGGTCCCGCCGGGATGATGCTGCGGCCG